GGATGGCCACAGTGAGCAATGAGTGTTTAGTGAGGGTGGAAAAGGCATTAAATGTATGGGTAAAAGACAAACACAAATGTGTTTTGATCGACAACCGTGTGTTATGCCAGAAAGCACTGAGCCCATACTGTGACCAGCATGGATCCCCAGATGTGAGCGACACCACGGTTATTGCTTTAATGTGAGTAAGGGATGGTCACACACACTCAGGAACAGGTTCGGACTGAAAAACATAAAAATTCCTGGAAAGGCTGATCTACTGGTGAAGTTGCTGCCACATTTCCTGCAGAGTTGAAGAAGCTGACTAAGGAGACAGAACAGCACTGAAGCATCTTTAGTTGTGACAAAACCAGGCTTTTCTGGAGGAAGATGCCCAATAGAACCCACATTCATTAAAGTACGAAGGAGGCACCAGGGCATAAAACACGGAAGAACAGATTAGCTCTGGTACCATGTGTCGACGCTGCAGGGCACACGCTAAAGCCAGGTGCAGTATACAGAGCTGAGAACCCACACACTCTCAAAAACAAAAACAGATGATTGATCCTCCTTCTGAAGTTTTTGTCAGAAAGTCAATAGTAACCTAACACCATGCCATAATGCCTGCGACATTCACCTCATGTTGTCTCATCCATAGGCATTGTATCATCTCACAAAAGCACAAGAAGGGTGAGTATAGTACTACAATATTCTGGGGGGGGGGGGACCACATTGGCATCACTTTTTTTTTTTTGGTATGTGCCCCTAGCGGGAACCAAACCCGGGACTCTCTGGTCCGCAGGCCGATGGTCCAACCGCTGAGCCAAACTGGCCAGGGCTTGACATCACTTTTTAACAAAAATTAAAATGTGCCCTGGCCAGTTTTCTCAGTTGGTTGGAACATTGTCATGTTCACTGAAAGGTTGTGGGTTCAATTCCAGGTCAGGGCTCATACCTAGGTTGTGGGTTCAGTCCCCAGTTGAAGACAACCCATCAATGTTTCTCTCTCTCTCTCTCTCTCTCTCTCTCTCTCTCTCTCTCTCTCTCTATCTCCTTCTCCCTCTCCCTCACTCCCTGCCTTGGGTGATGAATAAGATAGAACCAGAGGCATGGAAACATGGAACAGGCTGACTAATCTCAGAAGAAAGGGAGTGGAGGGTGGGGAGAGATTAACCAAAGAATTTATATGTATATATGCATTGCTCATGGACACAGATAATAGGGTGGTGAAGGCCTGGGGTGGGGCAGGAACCAGGTGGAGGGGAGCATTGGGGGAAATAAGGGGAACATCTATAATACTTTCAACAATAAAGATTAAAAATTTTAGATGTGCCCCAGTACAGACCTCTTTATATTGAATGTATTGGGGTCTTGTGCATTCACATCATCTTTATTACAGAATATTGTTATAGTTGTCTTATTTTAGTACTAGTTATTAATCTCTTACTGTGCTTAATTTGTGTTAAACTTTGTAAATATAGGAAACTGTAAATATAGGAAAAAAACAGTATATATGGGGTTTGGTATTATCTGAAGTTTCAGGCATTCACTGGGGGTCTTGGAAGATATCCCCCACAGATAACGGGAGACACTCTATAGAAAAATAACTTTGAAGCTGAGTGACAATAGCATAATAATCAGCACGTTGACTTTATTACACATTAAATGACTATATTTGAGTCTATTTCTATACTCTATTCTGTTCTAATGACCTATTTACTTCTCTCTCAGTATCAAACTTTAAAAAATGACTCTAGCCCTGGCCAGTTTGGCTCAGCGGTTAGAGCGTCGGCCTGCGGTCCGGAGAGACCTGGGTTCGGTTCCCGCTAAGGGCACGTACTTCGGTTGCAGTTTGTCCCTGGCCCTGGTTGGTCGTGCGGATGGCAGCCACTCGATGTGTCCCTTCACGTCGATGTTTCTCTCTCTCTCTCCCTTCCTCTCCCTCCCTCCCACTCTATCTGTACAAAAAATGGAAAAATATCCTCGGGCGAGGATAAAAAAAATAAATAAATAAAATAAAAAAATAAAAAATGACTCTACTTTTATACATTTTCACATCTGATAGGACTGTTTTCCCCTTGTTGGTCTTTTTCCAAAAATTTCTGGCTCTTCTGACATGTTTTTCTATATGTATTATATTCCATATAATATATAATCATTTTTCCCTGTGAATTAGATTGCCTTGTCTGTGATTGGGGTCACACTGAGGTCAGGGCTTGTCTGGGAGGCAGCCAATCAGTGTTTCTCTCTCATCGACGTTTCTCTCTCTCCCTTCCCCTCTCTCTAAAAAATCAATAGAAACATATTTTTAAAAAACCAGTTGCATTAAGATCAGGTAATTTGTAATATAAAAGGATATGGCTGCCACTACTGAGGGTGGGGGTGGGGAGTGAGCAGAGGACAGCCCAACAAGGAGGTGGGCTTGTCCAAAAGTGTTTCTCTGCCTGATCTCAGTCACCATGGGGCAAAAGAGTTAGCTCAGCAGCACCATTATTATTCTCAAGGTATTTTTAGAAATATCATATTCTTTTTATTGCTGGAATAAACTAGATGATGCTTTAGTTATGTTCAGTACTTGCCAGTTGGGTAATGTTAGGTGATTTTAGCACCGGAAGAAGGACTGGGGTTGTTTAGGCTGAAAGGAAATATACTCAGGAGACCAAAAGGACTAACATCATATATTATAAGGAAAGAGATTAAGTGCATTTCATGTAGAGGCACAAAGCTAAATTAGGGCTGGGAAGTAGAAGCTACAGGAGGATATATAATAGTATAATTCAAGGAAGAATGTGCTAGTATGGCTAAATAAAACAGCTAGAATCTGGAAGTATTGAATTCTTTGTCACTGTAAGCGTCCAAGCAGATAGTGGATAATTGGGTCAGGGATATTGGAGAGGAACTCCATGCATTATGTAGATAGGATTGAGCAAGAATTCTGAAGCCTCTTCCAACAATAATTCATAGCTCCACAAGTGTCTAAAGTTTGCTTGAATGGCCGCTTGATGTCACTCTTGTGCATATGCAGTAGCAAGATTATTTCTTGCAGTGATTCTCAACCTTCCTAATACCGCGACTCTTTAATACAGTTCCTCATGTTGTGGTGACCCCCAACCATAAAATTATTTTTGTTGCTACTTCATAACTGTAATTTTGCTACTGTTATGACTTGCCATTGGAAATATGTATTTTCCGATGGTCTTAGGCGACCCCTGTGAAAAAGGTCGTTCGACCCCCAAGGGTCGCAACCCACAGGTTGAGAACCGCTGCTTACTGCAAAGTAGAAATCAGGAACATGCTAACATAAGAAAGTGAAATTTTATTAACAAAATGCACATGTTTATCTTATGCAATTAATTTTTAATAAAATAAGAAAAGCTAAATATCACTTGAAGCAAAAATTTCCAAGATCTATTCTCAAAATTGGATTCACTTTCTAAATTCTCTTTTTAACTGTCTTCTGAGGTTCTCAAAATTTAATGTAACTTGCCATAAAACTGCTTCTGTCCATCCACTGCCAGAATCATTCATCTATCTTTTGTGTCTATTGTTCTAGGTAGGAACTATGTTTTGCTCTTTTTTTTTTTTTTAATTTAGTGGGAGGAAAGGGAGAGAGAGGGAGAGGAGGAGAGAGAGAGAGAGAGAGAGAGAGAGAGAGAGAGAGAGAGAGAGAGAGAGAGAGAGAGAAACATCAATGTAAAAGAGATACATTGACTGGCTGCCACCCACATAACTCCAACTGAAGCTGGAGACACACTGCAACCGAGGTACGTGCCCTTAGCAAGAACCGAACCCGGGTCTCTCTGAACCGCAGGTCGACGCTCTAACCACTAAGCCAAACTGGCCAGGGCATTTTGCTCTCTTTTACATGGCATATAGCACTGCGTAGTATTTGTATACTACCAATAACATCTTACATTTCTATTGGGTTTACCATTTACAAAGCACTTATTTATAGTATCTTACTCATCCATATGAAGTCAAGTGATTAGTTTTTAAAATATAAATGAATAGGCTGAGAAAGGCTAAGCAACCTATCCAAGGTCATATGTTGAAAATAGGTAAGAAAATGCTCCCCAATTTTTATTGTGCTGAACTATAGAGATTCAGAAAATGCTACAGACTTTTTATATCTTGGACATTCACCATGCACTTTAGCATGTCAAAGGCTCTGAGAATTTCTGAAACACAGAAAACTGTCAAACTTTAGCTCCCAAAATCTTCAAACAGATTTAGCCACTATATATTTCCTTTCTTTCTCTCTCCCTCTTTCTTTCTCTCTCTCTCTCCCCCTCCTAGCTCTGTCTCTCTTTCCTTTCTTCCGTCTCACCCTCCCTCCTTTCCTTCCTTTCTACATATCATCTTTTTCCCCCCAGAATGCAAGTTATTAGCTAACAGAATACTAGCTCTTCTATTGGAAATTGCTATAATTGATGAATATCAATTTCAAACTATACTCCTTAAATTGAGTTTACTAGCAGTGTTTCATAATGTGCAATGCATCAAGAAAAAAAAAAAAGCTTTATTTTTCTCTTAGCCAAAGGGAAATTCAGTTTATCCAAATAGATTATTCCCACCCTAAACTCTCTATGTGGAGACCTTGTCTTTATTTCTTCTTGGCACTTTGAGCAAACTAAATTAATTAAACAAAAGCCCAAAGTGAAAGTTTTCGCTTCCTTTGTATTCCTCTGATTCTCCCGGTGAGTCCAATGGGAGCAGCCAAGTCACTGGGAGAGCAGCTCACTCCCCTACTAACGCTACAGCTTGGACACGGCTCAGATGGTTCATCAGCTCGGTTTTAGCACATGTTCAGAATATCTCCATACATTCAATTAGACAGTTATTGTCTGGCATCTGTTGAAGCTGTCAGGCAAATGGCCCAAATTCAGGATATATACACTCTGAAAAGTTAAGCATTCCCTGAAAATGAATTTAGGAGCAAGGGACCATTCCAATTAACTTGACTTGGCTTTAGATGGCAGCCATAGTGATTGGGAGTCCTTTCTTCCACAGGGGAGGACAACAGAGGACCCCCTACATCACTGGCTGGCCTTCTTCTGAGCCACAAGGTTCCACACAGCAGCCTTCACATCCTTGTTCCTCAGGCTGTAGATGATGGGGTTGAGCATGGGGGTCACCACCCCATAGAAGAGGGGGATGAGCTTGTCTGAAAGGTCCTGTTCATCTGTTCCCAGGGAGTCCTTAGACTTTGGCTTCCCATACATGAAAAATAAGGTCCCATAGAAGATGACCACCACAGTGAGGTGGGCAGAGCAGGTGGAGAAGGCCTTTTTCTTCCCCTCAGCTGAGGGGATCCTGAGGATGGTGGCAATGATGAACACATAGGAGAAAGAGATGAACAGAACTGGGACCCCCAAGAAGATCACATTTGTAACCTCCATGCTGATCACATTGATGGAGATGTCAGCACAGGCCAACTTCAGGACAGCCAGGATCTCACAGGTGAAGTGGTTGATGATGTTGTTCCCACAGAAGGGCAGCTGAATTGTCAAGGTTGTGTGTACCACGGAAGCAGCACCACCAATAGTCCAGGAGCCAGCAGCCATGGGCACATAGGCAGCCTTACTCATGACTATGGGGTACCTCAGGGGCTTACAGATGGCCACATAGCGATCTAACGCCATCATGCTCAGGAGCACACACTCTGTTCCTGCCATGGCAAAGGAGAGGAACATCTGCATAGCACAGGCTGAGAAAGAGATGGTCATCTGGCGGGTCAGGAAGCCATTCAGGACCAAAGGGACGGAGGATGTTGTGTAGCAGATGTCCAGGAAGGAGAGGTTCCCCAGGAAGAAGTACATGGGTGTGTTCAGGCGGGAGTCAAGGATGGTCACCAGGATGAGGACCCCATTGCCTAGCAGGATCACCAGGTACATCAGCAGGATGAGCACAAAAAATGTATTCTTTAGCTTTGGGTGGGCTGAGAGGCCCAGGAGAATAAACTCCACCATGGGGGAGGTCTGATTGGACTTTTCCATGTAATAGCCCCTCTGTCATCAGCAAAGTACAAAGCAGTACATCAGGCTGACTTGTGAGGGGTCCTAGGCATCTGGTACACGATCAAGTTCCCGCTGCACAATAGGATAGCATGAGTGTGTAAGATAAAAATAACTGAAAGAGACAGTAGAGGTGTCATTAGCTCTTAGAGCAGAGTCGGACCTGGAGCAGAGCTTACAGAGATAAGACCTGAACTCCACAGAGCTAATCCTGGTCAGGGAGGGCTTTTCTTCAGCCTTATGATTAACAGCTGGAAAATGCTACAAATTATTTCTTTTTCCTTTTTTTTTTTTATCCTCACCCGAGGACATTTTCCCATTTTTTGTACAGATAGAGTGGGAGGGAGAGAGAGGAAGAGATAGAGAGAGAGAAACATTGACGTGAAAGGGACACATCGAGTGGCTGCCACCGCACGACCAACCAGGGCTGGGGACAAACTGCAACTGAGGTACATGCCCCTAGCGGGAACCGAACCCGGGTCTCTTCGGACCACAGACCGACGCTCTAACCGCTGAGCCAAACTGGCCAGGGCTCTTTTTAATATAAATGTACAGACATGTCATTTAATATGAGCTTTCGTAGATTCTCAGAGAGGTAAATCCTCAAGCTGATCTAATTCTTAGAACTAGGCAACTTTCAAGCCTCTTTGAACTTGAACTGCATTTGGAGGAACTGGTATAAAAGTGCTAATCCACATGCAAACAGAAACAAGCCTTCATAACACCCCCACCATAACAAGGGTTACTTCTTTAGCCGGCCTGCCATCAGCAACAGAGACTTGACCGTTTTCAGCACTGGGATCTGCCTTTTTAAACATTTTTTTATATGATTGATAGCACTATATGAGGAAGAACTCTATGAAGTCAACACAAGGATTCATTGGAGTGATTGTACCCACATTACAGGATGGCAACAAGGCACCGTACCGACCAGTTAACTCAATTGTTAATAACCACATGAACCACAATGATCAGATAGTAGGGTATATGGACTTAACTTATAGTCCATCTCATTAGGATATTGGTAAAATTCTTGGCCAGGGGTGACTAAGGAATGTTTTTTCTTTGTCCTTTTATGTGTGTAATTTATTCTTGTGTAGTATTCTGGCTCTCTGCCCCCACTCCACGCAAGCGGCTTGTTTATAGTCCTGTATGCCTTTGCATAGAGGACTACTGGTCTCTTACCTGTAATTGCCCAGGTTCTAAATTCAGAATCCTCATTGATAATATTTCTATACCTTCTTCAAAATTTCAGTGGGGGGTGTGCGATAGAGAGAGTGAGTGGGTGGGTGATGGAAGATGAGAGGTTAATATTGATGAGCATCTACTTTGCGCCATAGTCTTTGAAACACCCCGTGGAAAAGATATTGTTATTTAGGTTTTATAAATGAAGGAACCAAAGCTCAGAGGAGCTAAAGATTTTGCTCCATGGGGTTGAATGATAGAGCTGGGGCTGGATTGCAGGCCCCAATTCTGAGTTCTTTCCACCAAATACCCGCCTCACTCGCTTGGTGCACAGATTTTTGAAAGAGTTGGTCTCTCTAATGCCATCCGTCTGCATTCTCTGATCTGTGTCATGGTCTGCTGGGCACCCTCACGCTTCTCTCCTGGTGGGAGACATTATGTCAGATGTGTTGCCAGGCAGTACAGCTCCTGACCGGAATCGAACCCAAGGTTTCTCAACCTCGGCACTTGACATTTGGGCTGCAGAATTCTTTACTGTGGAGAGCTGTCCTGTGCATTGTAGGATGTTTAGCAGCATCCCAGGCCTCTGCCCACCAGTTGCCAGTAGTACCTGCTCCCTGTGTTGTAACAATCCAAAATGTCTCTAGACGTTGCCAAATGTTTCCAGGAGGAAAGGGGAGTACAAAATTGTGCCCAGCAGAGAGCCATGGATCTAACCCAGGAGAGGTTTCCCTGTTGTGCAGTCACGGGTTTCATTGTATTTTCTGGGCCAGCTTATTACCCTCCCCCATCCCTCAATGCAGCACGTCAGGGTGTTCCTGTCGCTCAGCGCAGGCCCACTCTGCTGCTCCACCAGGCAATCCTGCCCCCACTTCGCTCACATTCCTCCCAGTGGCTCTCCCAGCTCCTCCAGAAAATGAAAAGTAAACATTATAGTCAGTGTCACAAATAAGGTTGGATAGTGACAAGGACATGCTGTGGTCATAGAGGCCAAGGAAAGTGGGTTCTCTCAGAGAAGCCATCCTGCCCACTCCCATCAGACTCAGAAGCTTCTGCCCATAACAGTGTGGTGTGGGCATGAGCAATGCACCGGATTTGACCCAGATGAGAGCTGCATCCACAGACATCTTAGTGTCTGTGACATGACGTTGTTGACTGAAAGCTGGTTCGATTGGAATGAACTGAACAGCTGGGAAGACCGTGTACCCTGAGACCGGGGCTGCGGACCTGGCCCTGTGTGACATGGCGATTCTGTGCAGCTGAGAGCAAGTCCCTTCTCCTCCCTCGGCTTCAGTTTCCCCAAGTACATTGCAAGAAAGCGAATCGGGTGCTTCCCAGGGCATTCCAACTCACTGGCGCACGCACGCGCATGCGTGTGCGTGTGTGCGTGTGTGTGTGTGTGTGTGTGTGCGTGTGTGTCGGGGAGATCTGAGTTCTTGGTTTCACATGAAGGAATGGTCAGCAGGAAATAGGGCTGTGTCAGGTGTTGGAGGGGATTCAGGATGGAGGAAAACAGAGCTCTGATCCCTCAGCCCCCGACAGGAGGGAGAGAAGGGAAATGGGAGGGGAGGGAGTTGGGCAGGAAGCAGTCAGGAAGAGCAAGGAGAGGAAGCAAAGCTCTTACCTTTGTGGCCACATCCTGCAGGTATGGCACCAGGGCTTGTCCCAAGGACCGGGCCTGGCTGGTGGTCCTCCCGGAGCCAGCAGGCAGCCGAGAAATGGAAGGGAACACAGTATGTCAGCAGAGCCCCACACGCCCTAACACAACCTTTCCGGACAGCAGTTTGCTAAAAAAAGGGAAATCCCCCCAAACCCATCACCTCAGCAGTTCCACCTCTGGGAAGAATTCTAAAGAATCAATGAGAGTAGAATATATATAGTTTTTTCTCTCTCCTTTTTAATCCTCATGAGGTTATTCTTCCATTGATTTTTTTTTTTTTTTTAGATAGAGTGGGACAAAGGAGGGAGGAAGGAGGAGACAGAGAGAGGAACATCGATGTGAGAGAGACATATCAATTGGCTGCCTCCCACACGATCCTGACCAGGTGGGGAATCAAACCCTCAACCAAGGTATGTGCCCTTGATCAGGAATCGAACCCACGACTCCTTGGTCCATGGGCCGATTCTCTAACCACTGAGCAAAACTGACCAGGGCCCAATATTTCTCAATAAAGAGAACCATCACAACAATGTGAAGAAAATAAGAAACAAATAACTGTCTACCAATACGTGCCTAAATAAATGATGCCATTTCATATAATGGTATATTAGGCAGACATTCAAGTTATAGTTATTGCTTCTATACTATAATATTATTACACTATAATGATAATTTAAAAGGATGAATACAAAATTGTACATAGTTGTGACCTCAATTAGGTAAATGATTATGTGGATAAAAGCAACTGAAAAGAAATTATAGCAGAATCAATATGGGAGGGATTCCTCTCTCTAAGTCTTCAGTATTACCAAGTTTTTTAACACAACGGGTGCAAGTTTCTATGAATTAAGGAGAAAAAATCTTAGTGTTCATAGAAGGAAAGTGAGAAAAAAGGAAAGAACTAGCCATAGACTGGGAATCAGACAGACAGGCTGTGGGTCCCCGCTGGCCTGTCAGTTCACCCTCTGACCCTGAGGAAGGCCCATTCTGAGACATCTCTGCAGGATGGGTGGGAACCTGCCCTCCTCCCTCCCAGGCTCTGTGTGAGGTCAGAGCTGCAAGGTCAGGGCGGCTTGGTCCGTGCGTGCCCTGGAGAGCTTGAAGGACTGCTCCCCACTTACTCCCGCTGCGCCTCGGCCAGCATCCGCTGCAGGAAGGTTTCTCCGCGAAGAGGCAGGGTGAGGAGGAAAGTCCATCTTCAGAAAATGCTCTGCAGAAGGCGTGGCCACCACCTCTGTCCCCACCACAGCCCAACTCTCCCACCTGCATCCTGCTCTGGCCACTTCTCTGAGACTATGGGTCCCAGATGCGATTCTCAATTCTTCCCTGCACCCAAAGCCAGACCTTGGATGGCAGAGAAAGGCCCCAGATATTCCCCTGCTTGAATTTTTTTTTTTTACCTCTGAGACCCTCTTTCTTCTTTGTCCTTCTAAATACTGTGGAAACAGCCTCTGGTGGACATTTCATATCCTTCAGCACAGGCTACCTTCAGGACAGCTAGGATCTCACAGGTGAAAATGGTTGATGATGCCCAGCCGGTGTGGTTCAGTGGTTGAGCATCGACCCATGCACCAAGAGGTCGCCGGTTCGATTCCCAGTCAGGGCACATGCCCAGGTTGTGGGCCTGATCCCCAGTGGGGGGCATGCAGGAGGCGGTCAATTGATGTTCTCTCTCATCGATGATTCTCTCTCTCGCTCCCTCTCCTTTCCTCTCTCTCTCTAAAATCAATAAAGAAAAATAAACTTTAAAAAAGAGAGAGAGAGATGGTTGATGATGTTGTCCCCACAGAAGGGCAGTCACATTGCCAGGACGTCTGCACCATGGGAGCTTCCAGCTACCCAGCAGCCAGCAGCCAGGGGCACATAGGCAGACTTGCTCATGATCTCAGGATACCTAAGTGGCTTGCAGATGGCCACATAGCAATCAAATGCCATCATGCCCAGAAGCACACACTCTGTGGCTCCTATGGCAAAGGAGAGGGACATCTGCACAGCACAGGCTGAGAAGGGGATGGTTTTCCTGGGGGTCAGAAAGCTGTCAAGAATGAGGGGAACTGAGGGGGTTGTGTAGCAGATGTCTAGGAAGGAGAGGTTCCCCAGGAAGAAATACATGGGTGTGTGCAGGTGGGAGTCAAGGATGGTCACCAGGATGAGGACCCCATTGCCCAGCAGGATCACCAGGTGTATCAGAAGGATGAACACAAAAAATGTATTCACCATCTTTGGGTGGGCTGAGAGCCCCAGGAGAACAAACCCCACGACTGGGGAGGTCCAATTGGACCTGTCCATGATGCATCTACTCTGTCACCCGGAAGAAATCGGAAGCCAGCTTCATGATTCTCTGATGCTTAATGTGGCCAGAAAGCCAGTGAGGAAATTTGCCTTGCTGAGCAGCTGGAGAACCACTCTGGAAATGTGGGTGGTTCTCTGTGTTGTTCTAAGTAAAATATAGAGAATTAGATAAAAATATACTTAAGATATTTGGCCACCTCATAGAGATATCTGAAATGTCACCTGAGTGGATTTAATATTCTTAATCACATTCAAAGTAGGAATCACTCATTTACTTTGAGTTATACCATATGTGGCCGATTCATTTTAATCAGTTTTGTGAGAAGTGAAGTGTTATATTTCATTTGCATCCCCCCCCCCCCTTTGGGACATAGGTCTGGTGGAACTAACTGGTCAATTACTGAAGATTCCCCTCTCCAGGTACTTTTGGTTATGACTTTCTTTCTCAGTTTTTAAAATATGTTTTTATTGATTTTAGAGAGAGAGGAAGGGAAAGAGAGAGAGAGAGAGAGAGAGACATCAATCATTTCCCTCCCATATGCACCCAGACCAGGCATCAAACCCACAACCTAGGCATGTGCCCTGACTGGGAATTAACCCAGCGACCTTTTGGTGCACAGGATGACACTCAGCCAACTGAACCACCCCAGCCAGGGCTGAGTTCCTTCCTCTTTTACAGCTCTCTCTCAGAGTCTGCAGGCCCCTGAGCTATTCTGTCCTTCCTTCCTTCACTTGCCTGCTAAACTCCTCTGGAGCACTTCCCTGAAGAACTGGTCTTCATGTGGAAATGTTAAGTCCCCTTTCCTCTCTGGGCCTCGTTTCCCTAATACTCACTTTGAATGGATTATTTTTAGTGGTATTCCATCCCAGGGCCTAAATGATCTCATGAACTTCTCATTCTTGGACTTTCTGTTATACCACTGAGACATCCTTTTTCCTTTCCTTCAAGGATCCCCATGCCACTTAGTCTCAAGGGATGAAGCCAGAAATGGGGTTGGGACCACAAGAGTGTACACCTTCTTTTAAAAATGCTCTCTTGCCCGGCCAGTGTGGCTCAGTGGATTGAGCATCATCCCAAGGACCGAGAGGTCCTGGTTTGATTCCCGGTCAGGGCACATGCCTGGGTTGTGGGCTTGATCCCCACAACCGATTGATGGAGGCAGCCAATTGATGTTTCTCTCTCACATCGATATTTTTATCTCTCTCTCTCTAAAAAATCAATAAGAACATATAAAAATAAAAAAATAAAAGTGCTCTCTTACCTTTTTGGTAAATAGATTGATAAAGAAAATTACTTGTCCGAGGCCTGGGAATAGTCCAGAGTCCGAAGATAACCAACCTGGTCTGAAGTGGCAGCCAGAGGAGTTAGAGCCTGAAACAGGTGGAAGCTAAGCTTTCTTATCTTTGGGTAAAATCCAGAGGACCATCTATTGAGTATCTATTGAGTATAAGAAGCCATTTAAATCCTACCCTCCTATTGGGATTATACAAGTCCCTGAAGTAATTTAAAGTTTAGAAACTAAAATGACAAAGTTTAGAAACTTAATACACTTGGGATTATGTCCCCAAGATCCAATTTATTCTGAAGTTCCTTCAGAAATACTTTCTTCCCCCTCCTTCCCTTTGTACCTATCCTGCTGAGTATTGAAAGCACCAGTGAAGAAGGGTCATTCCGGTCCTGCCAGAATTAGTATCAACCCTCAACCAGTGAGAACTCTCACCCAGAGCCTATGATAGACGTAAGAGGATGTAAAACCCATGGCACAGGACAAATCCTTGTAGCTCACTACTACTCTTGGCCATTTCCAAATTCCAAATTCAGGATCTCAGGGTTGGAAAGAAGCAACTGACCTAGAAGGTGCCCTCTTCTCTGTGTCCCACCAAGTAGATTCTGAGCTCCTACAACAGGTCAGGCCTTTAAAGGGCATTGGGAGGGTCATAATTGAGTATGGTCTGGGCTCCTGCCAGGACAGTTTCACAGCTACTGCAGACTTGAAAAAGGCCCATTGATTGCAAAAGTGATGTCCTGTTGTTTGAAGTCTTTCTTACGTGTGTATTTAGGAGTATCCCGTATCTGTGCTTCTGTGAAAGCATAGCTGGTTTACCACTGGGATCTGGTGTCCTCCACTTCCAAGATCCCAGCTGAGAGCTGTGACCACCCAGCAGACAGAAGCATCTTAAACCAGGAACACTGTTTTCTGACATCCAATAGTTTCTCAACCACATCCTAGTTCCTCCTTCTATTTAATACTAATACTGGAGATGATGGTTGGCACGCATTGAGCTCTTGTTCCACAGATGCCCGTGGTGTCCAAGAGGAGCCTGCTCAGTGTCAAGAACAAATAAGACTTGAGTGATTCCTCCCACTTCTTTCACAAAGGAAGCACACCAGCATCATGCATTGGCTTCTAAAAATCTTAGAATCAAATATATGCCACATTCATGATCATAAATCATTAGGCCTTGCATTGATTTTTTTCTTTCTGTGAAATATATTATACATACAGAAGAGTATAAAAAGGATATGTGTAATAGTTAAGGAAAAATAATAAAATACATGCTATGTACCACCACAGGTTAAGAATTAGAATGTTCTGGTGCCTTAGAATCTCCTCGTATTTCTCACCACAATTATAGTCCCTTCTTCTCTCTCTTCCAGAGATAATCACTATTCTGACTTCCATGGAAATCATTTTATTCTAGGCAGAACTTAATGATCCCCATCTCACCTCATGATCCCCGAACTCTGATGATTGAGTCAAACACTAACCTAGGTGCTGTTGTGAAGAGATTTTGTCAACGTAACTAAAGTCCAGAGTCAGTTGACTTCAAGATTAGATTATCCACGTGGGCCAGACCCAATCAGGTTAGCCCTTTTAAACAGACAGGTTTCTCTGGCTAATAGCAGAAGTAGGAGACAGAGTCAAAGCGTGGGAAGTATTTCACCTGCTATTTCTGGATTCGAGGCTGGAGGGTCCACGGCGAGGACCAGAGAACTCCCACAAGAAGCCGAGAATGAACCCTGCCAAAAGCCAACTAGGAAACTAGGACTGTAGACTGACACCCCCCAAACTAAATTCTGCCAACAATCTGAATTTTCTCTGAGCCCACCCCACCATCTCACAAAACTGTTAGGTAATAATTGAATGTTGTTTTAAGCTGCTAATTTTGTGGTGATTTGTTATGCAGCAAAAAAAGCAAATATACGCTTTCTTGATTTTTTTAAATAGTTTTACCACCTACAAATGTATCTGCGTACAATGCATGTTCCATTTTACAAAACAGAATAACAATGTAAAAACCCAGCTTTTTATGTAAAGGACAAAAATGCCACTATCTGGGAAGTCTCACCTGAGAATAGAAGCTTATGATTTTATTTTATTTTATTTTTTGTCTTTTTGCTATCAAGAAAATAGAAACAGAATGATGAAGACAGGAATGATTGGAAAAAGAAACGTTTTGGAGGAGGGAGTCCGTAAAGGCCTACGAAGGCGTGCTCAAGCAGAGGCCTCAAGGGCCAGATGAGCGACACCAGCCTGGCTCTGGGCAAAGGGACCCCAGGCAGAGAGCGTCAGTACAAAGACCGAAGAACAGACTTGACATGTTCCAGAAGCAGAACCGTGACTGCGGCATTGGTGATAAAGAGGGAAAGAGGAAGAAATGAGGGACGCTCGTGGTTTTAGCCCCTTCTGGCGGAGTCAGGCACGGCTGTAGTGTGGCCAGGTACCAGGCACCTGTCAGATATACCATCAGAGGAAGTGGTTGCTGTATGTTTTTCTGCTTCTAAGCTCTCACTGTGGCTCATTTCCTACTCTTAGAAACAGGCCAAAGTAGACCTGTGGGGTGAAATGAGTGTCCTCAGCTAACCCAGCAGCAAGGCACGGAGAGAGAAGAGGGAATTTTATCAGTGCGTGGCCAAGACAAGGCAAGTACGGGAAGGACTGTCAGAGAGAACCAGTGTTCCGGCTCACAAGCAGTCAGGAGAAGGAGTTTTCTCTGAGCCTTTTTGTTCTGTTCAGGCCTCTAACTGATGGATGAGGCCGGCCCACACTGGGGAGGGCAATGTGCTTTACTCAGTCTGTCAGATCAAGTCGTAATCTCATCCAGAAACACCCTCACAGGAACAAAATAATGTTTGACCAAATATCTGGGCACCCCATGGCCCCGTCAAGCTGACACATAAAATGAATCATCACAGTGTGGTATGGAATTCTAGGAACTTACTGGACATCATTTTCCTTCTGAATTTGAAGGTACTGCTGGTGCTAAGTCTAACTCTTTTGTTGTTGGTATTAATCCTCACCAGAGAATACTTTTCCATTGGTCTTTTTTACAATTTTTTTTAGATAGAATGGAAGGGAGGAAGGGGGGGGGGGGAGAGAAACATCAATGTGAGAGAGAGAGACATTGATTGGTTACTTCCTGCACTACCCTGACCAGGACCAGCGATTGAACCCTCAACCAAGTTATGTGCCCTTGGCCAGGAATAAAACCTGCAACCCTCTGGTGAGTGGGCTGACACTCTAACCACTGAGCCACACCAGCCAGAGTGCCATTCTAATTCTTGATCCTTGGTGATGATAGTTTTTTCTCTCCCTGGAATGATATAGCACCCATGTTCTCAACTGTGCCTCTTCTCCCTCAGTGCTAATAGACATTGTTTTATACTCTGCAGAGAATAAACCTTTTGTTGAGGTAGATAAGAGACAGTTGACCAAAGTCATGAAATGAGGGAGAGGGTGTAGGGACTGTGTTTTAAAATATAGTTTTCATTGAATTCTTATAGTACTTCCTTCTCCCTGGTCCCAAAGGGACCTGGTACGGTGACTCCCTCCGTGCTGGAAATCTGGCTGTTGCTTAGCCCTCCTGGTTTGTGCTTAGGATTTGGTTCTATCAAATCTACTCTGGCGATGACTACTCACCCATCCATTTTTCCAGCCTTCCAAATGTTATCATTGTGATGTGTCCCTTCTTCTCCTTAACCGTGTAAATTTTGT